CCCTAACACATCAGTGCCCAGCGAGGCAGAGCACAACCTGTCTCCATTATCTCTTTAGCAAGGACTGGGCGAGGCTGGAGGGGAGGAGGCTGGAGGGCTTGGGGAAAAGCAGGTACTGGGGTGAGGTGCGGGGAGCAGGGAGTGCAAGAAACGCTCCTGCATCTTCCAGCTTTGCCAGATCCAGCCGCACTTCTTGTGCGTATTTTAATCCTGGGACACTGGGAAAGTTCCCGTAAAACCTTGCGTACAGGATGGAAAAGAGTCTGACCTCGCTACTGATGGGAGCAAAAAAAGACCCTCACTCCCCTCCCCACACTTCAGGAGAATGGGAAGGGAAGGGAAGGGAGGAAGGTACAGCAGCGGCTGCACAACCTGGGTGGGTAGCCAAGAGGGACTAGAACATTTTGTGCCCTCAGGCCCTCACACCCTTTTCCCACACCTCCAAATCCCTGCATCTTTCCTCGCCTTCTTCCTTTGACCCTGCGGCGCTTCCACCTTGAGCCTCCACTGCCGAATCCCGAGCTACGCAATGTCCTCGGAGCTCCGGGCACCGGCAACCCCCTCCCGCGAGTCCCAAGTCTGTCCCCCTCTCGCCTTGCAACTTGCGCAACCCAAGGCTTTCGCGTCTCCTCCCCCTCCGGCTCCTCCCCCGAGCTCCCAGATGCCCAGCCCAGCCCAGTCCAACTCCGTCTCCACCAACCTCCCCAGCCTTCGGTCCCCTCGGCTTTCCTTAGCCCGTTTATCTCCTGTGCATTCAGGATCCTCCCGCGACACTCGATCCCTTGCCCAAGGCTAGCTCTGCGCTAGCTGGGGGGGCCTAGTGTTAGGCACCTCTTTTCTCCGGGACCTCAGTTTACCTCGGTGCATCGTCAGGGGTTGGGGGGGGCGGTTGGCCTAAAGAGTTCCAACTTGGGGGCCTTCCCGCAGCCGCTGCCCGCGCCCATGCACTCCCGGCTCGTGCGCCCCTCACCTGGTCGCGCAGGTCCCGCGGCTTGCAGGACTCTGCAAGCGGCCGCCTGGACGGCCAGACTGGAGGCAGGGTGGCCGGGACAGTAGACGGCCGCCTGCACCGGGCCTCCCGCCTGGTGGCCGAACACCGTGCGCAGCAGCGCCTCCAGGAGCCTCAATCCCGGCGCCACCGCGTCCTCGGGCCCGGCCTCGGCCACTAGCACCC